CAAATTACGACTGGCCGCCAGAACTGTCAGAAAACATCCCCTTAAAATTTCAGCTTTCTAGCTTCCTTGACTCCTGAGTTAGCAACTTACTGGAAAAAAATTCTTACGGGCTCGTGCGTGTTTGCCACACATACCCGAGAGTTGTGTTTGGGCTGAATGAAACTTAGGTGGAGGGATATATCCTCTTAAAATTACAGTCCTTCAGCTTCTTAGGTACTCGAGTTATCAACTTACCGGAAAAAATTTTGGCGGCCCCGTATGCGGGTACCACTCTTATTTTGGGACTGGGTTTGAGCTCACTAGTACCCGCTTGGACGGGGAACATCACCCTAAGATTTCAGCTTTCTAGCATCTCAGATCCCCGAGTTATGAATTTGCCTGAGAAAACTTTTGGCGGGCTCTTACGTGGTACCACGCTGATAAGGCCGCCCATTTCGGGGATGGGGGCCCGTACGTGCATGTAGATTATTTCTCCAAAGTTTCAGCCTTGTAGCTTTTGCCGGTCTCGGGATGAAAAATTGGTACAGACGAACACACAGACATACACACACACACACAACGCAGACAACCTCCCGTCAATATGCGTTTTTCGCATTGCATTGCTGCAAAAAAAACGCATAAAAACTGTGCTTATATACCAATAAATTTTGGCAACTCTCATCCCAACCCACAGACGTGTGTATTTTCCCCCAAAAAAAGTGCATTTTTCGCGGCTCAACCAAGCCGAGTTCTGGTAGCTGTCGGAATGTGGCGTTTATCTGGAACTTCGAGAGATCTGTTGTGGTTTTGCGTAGTTCGTAGCAGTTATCGTTTCTAGGAAGATGAAGGAAAACAGCACATCGGTACACTTCGACGCAGAACCATCCAGCCCCGACCAGCTGGCGCCAGAAGAGCAGACATTGCCTGTACCTACAAATAATTGTAACGAAAAAGCCGAGGAATGTGCGCAGCCGGGGCACTCAGAACGCAACCGCAGTGTCGAGGCTTCTGAATCGGAGAAGGAAAATCCGAACGCGATCGCCAAAAAACTCGCCGATCTAAAGGTTCGCTTCATTCTGGCGGTTCATTGTTTTCAGTATTCTGTCTTATCACGGATGTCATTATTCATATTGTTATATATTAGTAATCAGTACTAGGAGTTATTTTTATTGCTATTGTTATTATTATCACTATTATTATTGTTATTATTATCATTTTTATTACCGTCACTATGACTGTTCTTGTTATTACCATTGTTATCATTATTATTATTGCTGTTATTATTATTTTTATTATTATTGTTATTATTGTTATTGTTATTATTATTATTGTTATTATTATTGTTGTTATCATTATTATTGTTATTATCACTGTTGTTATTATTATCACTGTTATTATTATTGTCGTTATTATTGTTATTGTTATTATTACTGTTATT